CATGCTGGCCAGCCGCCCACATTGTCGTTTTAAGTCCACTGACCTGCTTCCATCGCTGCTGAGGCGTCGACGCTTGAAGTCGGTTGGAGAATGAATTTTGTAAAGTGTATTTTCGACGTCGTTTCAATGCGGGCCTTGAAGAATGCGCGGATTTTGCATAATCTTCATCAGTGGCAGACGCAAATCCGCAAGATGGGACCTCAGATGACCGAGTATCCTGTTCTTTAGACAACTGCTCAGCCATGATACTCTGTAGGTGAGAATAGCTCGAGGTGCTCGACTTGGCACGTGTATGATCCTGGTGATAATTTGAAATGTAGTACGAGATAGGCTTCAGTGGAAATACAAGGCGCGGTCAGGGTTGGGGTACACTCGGATAGGCGGAAAGCGCAGTACTTGACTATTTAAGCACATTGTAAACAGGAGGTAGCAGCCAATACGCTCCTATTGGGTATCAACCATGGATCTCAATGGGTTGCTACGGTAGCCTGATACTAGACCTCAATTGGATTACTGCAATGGTTCATCTGAGGGAAAAACGATACGTGCTGATGTAGGAAGATAATCAGTCGCAATGCCCCCCTAGCCTCAAATGGTCAAAAGGATTGAGTTTCGGGACGGGCCATAGCATAACGGGGATCGGAGACTTTTCACCATCGAATGGGAGGGGTGCGGTTCTCATGTGTTGATCCAGTTAGGCTAGTTACGGTTGTAAGATATGTATCGATGATGCATCTAGCTTGTAGGAACCTTGGTCGGCGAACTGGGTGCAGGACTAGGTGCCGATGCTTCCAGTAAGTAAAGAACCTCTTCAATAGCCCACATAACACCTTTTGAAATGCCATGGGAGTCTATCTTATGGACAACAGTGTCATCGCCAGTATAATGAGGAAACCTGGACTCATCAATCCAGCATTGAGATGCAAGCGGTGCTTTACACGCGATCAGAATGTGTTTTTCCACCTGCAGAATCTCCCAGAAGTCCGTTAGACTTGCAAACCTGCACGGCGACGGACTGTGCGAGTACCATGGAAGCATTGCGGGTCGATAGCGAAAAAAGACATGATGATCAGGCTGCTTTGACTGCATCTGGGCAAGGTCACGATAGATCACCGTACTGGATGAGACTTGGAATTTCAAAATCGCCCAATTCATGAATAGAAATCCATGTCGAATGACGACGATGGGGAGCCGAACTGAGGTTGAGAGAAAAAGTGGAGGCTGTTGTCGGGGGACGTTTGTGGGGAAGTAGGGTCGGGCCGACGTTGATGCTGACTAACGCAAGAAAGGAGCTTATGTCATCCATTCCCATAAGCTAGTACAGAATAGGAAGTTGGTGATGCAAACACGGCAAACATGAGATGCTTCGCGTTCAATGACACCATCATCTTAGCCTTTGATAGTCCGTCAATCCATCGCATTACCCCCATGCTTCGCCTCTAGTACTGGGCTCCTGATGCCTTCGCGAATCTTGTTGGGAGTGCCCAGGACTCTGTCGTCGCGATCGGCAGTCATCATTCGCACGCGACCTCAACAGCGGTTTGCTTCGAACTCCGCAGGCGCTCCAGAAGTCTACGATGTCGTCTGTGTCGGCGGCGGTCCCGCAGGATTGAGTCTTCTGGCGGGACTGAAAGCGTCCCCCATTACGAGCGGATTAAAGATCGCTCTGATTGAAGGTCAAGATCTAAACAAAAATCGATTGCAAAAGGATGCGACGCTGGACAGCTTCTCCAACAGATGTAGTTCGCTAACGCCAGCTTCAGTTAGGAACCTGCAGGGTACGATTTGGATTTATAGTAATTGAACATCAGTCTCTGACTTTTTTGTTGTAGAAATTGGAGCATGGTCCCACGTCAATGCCGCCCGAGTACAGCCATACCAGGAGATGCAGGTATGGGACGGAGTGACTGATGCACGCATCTCCTTCGACTGGGACAATGCCCGCCCACTCCTTACGCCTCGCAATCCCGCAAGACCCACCACTATCGCATATATGATTGAAAATGTCAATACTGTCTCGACCCTCCTCAGTCGATTGGAGGAATTGGGAGGCGTCGACTTCTTCATATCCTCCAAGGTCGACTCCATAGACCTAGGTGCAGACACCGATAACATGGACTTCTCCTCGTGGCCCATCCTCACCCTCTCCAATGGCAAGACACTAGCCGCAAGGCTCCTTGTCGGTGCAGACGGCGCAAACAGCCCCGTACGCACCTTTGCCGGCATCGAGTCACGAGGCTTCGACTACGCCCGCCACGGCGTTGTAGCAAGCCTCACCCTCCAAGGTCCTGGCTGGGG